AGGTCCACAGAATATGAATGGTGTGAGTTTGGATAAATGGCCTAATCGAGATTCTTTCCATGAGTGTCCAAACCCAACCAAAGACTAGAAAAGTCACTCCAGACTGTTGTGTCATTCGAGGTCTGGGAAAAACCCAGGCGGCTGAATCGCATGCAATGCACCTCGACAAAAACCCTTCCCAGGTCATTGTCTGCCACTCCAACAATCGCTGCAGGCAATGATGTCAATACCGGCTTAGCCTGAATGAGAATGAGCCCAGGCAGCCGGCCCGGTTTACACGTGAAGTCACCCGCAGAATCCCTCCATGATTTAGGATGGTGCTGGTGTCCTGATTGGGGCTTCCATGAAGTACACTAGTCCCCACACCTCAAACTCACACAGCGGCCATTGTCCTAACGGTACTGTCTCAAGGCATGAAGGAACTGGTATGTAGGTATCCCACAATGCCCCAGTGCACCACTGACTGTGTTGTACTAGATCCTTTGAATTTTTCAGCAGATGGAAAAAGTGAGCTCCTAGTATTAGCGGAAAGAAAACAATGCCTGCTTTTGTCAGCTTTTTGTGAATGGTTTGCAGACTGCCGGTTCTGCAGCCGTGTAAATAGCATAGTATGGGTGAGCGGCGGCATGATTTTGTTCGGCTCCGTTTTCAGAGGTGGGAAACGACGAGTTGTGACAGTTTGCCATTGCGTGCCGTCGGAGTGGCATTGCGTTGGTAACCAGCTGCGTGGGCGGGGATTCGGATCCTCCATCTTCAGGGAGAAAATCCAGGTTACTGGATGAATACAGTCGGCTCATCCTTATGGGTAGGAATCGGACAGGCTGGTACTGGTGGCTAGGCAGGTTCTGCTGTAGGAATGACTGTCTGGTGCCACGTGCCGGTAAGACAGGCGGGCGAGCTCCACGTGGCACCGCCGGGGCCAAGCAATCCGTCATGGGGATTATCTGCCCATCCCACCTGCTGTGGGGAGGGGGGTGGGGACTTGCAGTAATCTGGTGGTCCTGGTTGTTTTGGGGCAGCAGGCCGGGATGCCGCCAGCGACTCGGCACTCCTGTTTAAAGGGGGACCATTACAGGAGCAGAAGGAAGAGTGACGAGGGGTTTTCTCGAGGCTTGAGGGTCTCTTGTCTGTGCCATCAGCCTCATTTACCAGCTCGTCTCTCAACGTGCTCCTACGTTAATTTGACTTCCCCAGGCTGGATGGACAGAACCGCAGCCTTCCAGCGGCTCTTCCCACGGAAATGGCAGAGAAAGTTTCCCAGTGGAAGCCGCTACCTTACGCAGCCTGGGGCTACCCTGAATCCCCTTTGATGGTGATTTGTGGTGACAATTAGCGAGAGGGCGGCCCCTGTGAGCAACCAGCTTAAGCAAAGGCGGGTTAAGGAGACGCCCAGTCTCACTCTCCCGGGTGATTAACGAACAATGACACGTCCGTTTGTGTTATGAAATGCTGGGATACGGCTGCAGATGTGGTTGTGGATTATTGGTGCTGCAGTTCAGTGTCTCAACCCCCCTGCAATTTCCCGGTAAGTAATACCCAGGTGGCAGCTGCGGTGGGTGTGTCTCACGGCACACTGATGCACCCCCCCCCCCTCGCCCGCGACTGAGGTGTTGTGATGGGGGTCACAGCAGCCAATCAATGTGCAGGCTGAAAAAAAGGCAGAGCATGCTCCCTGAAGCTGCCCCCCCCTTCCCCAGCAAGCCGCTAATAGTTTGCAGTTGGAACGCCCTCACACACACTCCCCCCACCCCCACACCAGCATCTCCACATCTTCCTAACGATCCTCCTAACTTATCAAATGGAGAGGGAGCACCTGACTAGAGACACACACCTGGGTGCCAAACCTGTTTGCCAAAGTCACCTCGGGCAAAGCTGGCCTGGCACGAGAGAAATTCGTGGGTGCCCGTTAAAACGCCTATGGAATTTCAGGGGGCGTGGCTGGGCCTCTGACTTGCGTTTTTGGTTTTGTCGCTACACAATTTTAGGGCGTGGCGGACCTGCATATGGCCCTCAGCTGCCAGAGCCTCTCTGTCAGCAGCTGCTCCACCCCAGGGCTGTCCTCCCGGCGAAGCTGTCTGCCCTGGGAGCGCTCACGTTAGACCGTCTCTGTAATTAAAACGACAATGTCGTCGTGGCGACACCCTGGGACACCTCATGGCCACCCGTGGAGTGTCTGTCTCATGTCAGCGGACGCGGAGCTCGGCGGTTTGATGCCTCGTGTGTTCCTGTTTCAGAGGGGGCTCGCTGCCCCCAGCCCTGTATGTACTGCTTAGATCACTCTCTGCTCCCTGTCCACTGAAATATGCTTCATTTGCACCATATCATACAGATTAAATGGGGTGGGGGGGATATGGTGGGGACATGCATATGCAATTTGCTGACTTGGGAGTTTTTTTTGCATTTGTGCTGCACCAGAAAGCATTTATTTTTGTCAGCTGGCTAGCCGGGCCTCGATCGGGGAGGGCGGATGATAGGCCACGCTGAAGTCAAGCCTTTGCTGTATTTACGTCCATTAGCCGTGTTAGCGAGGGTGCGTGTTAGCGGCGTGAGGCAGGCAGGGCGACCACCCCCCACATCTTCAGCAGGCTCTGTGGCTGAACAGTAGGTGGCGTGACGGTTTAGGATGTCACCATCGCCTGATGGCTTATGGTTATGGCGTCAAATCTTAGCAAAGTAACTGCTACTGGACTCTACCAACAATCTGAGCTCAAAGGAACCCAAACCTGATATGTCACTGTGTGTAGTGGCTGTGACCTCAAAGGTGAGCAGAATGACCAAAATATAGCAGCCCGGGAAAAAAACTGGGACACTTTGGTAGCTATGGAAACGGCCGTCCCCTTCCCTGCAGCGGCATGTGCAGCCTGGACCTCCACTGATTCTAGAAAATACCGTGTTGCATAAATGGGAATTGTGGTTAAGGGGCAGATGCTGCATCATCAGTGATGTATGGCCATGGTGTCCTCCATAACTCGCTGATATGTCAGGGATTCACCTTCAGCACGCCTGTAGAATTTACCCTTTTGGTGAGTCATCCTTCTAAAGGTCAAAGTTCGGTTTCCGCAGCGATAAGCTGGCCCTGTGGGGTGCCGCTGTACCGCAGAGCGCCATCCGTCTGGGCTGCGCTGCTGCATGGAAAAGCAGAGGTTGGTCAGGCGAGGAGAAGAGGTGCTTTATTTCGCCGGGCTGAAATTTGAGACACCAGGTGGTATTACTGTGCCAGGTAATCCCGCCCCCCCAACAAAAAGTGGGCAGAGAACTGCATGAGCCTCTCTCTGGCGTGCCCCGTCCCTCAACGACAGCCACCAATGTCCAAGTAAAAGCATAATCAGGAAAAAGTGGGACACGGCGGCTTCTGTTTCCATTTTGTGCCCCAGTCTTCCATAATTAATACATTACCCATAATGCAATGCACATGGCTGACAGTTTCTGTAGTGAAAGAGAGAGACTTGATGGTCTCTCATGGTTAACTGATGAAACAGAGAGACACAGGACGTGGTGGCTTACTGTGAGCCATACGGAAGTCGTGTTTGGCAGGTAGGCAGGTTCACTGTGGCCTGGCGTCTCGGCATCTCCCGCTCCTACACCATTCCCCCCCCCCCCCCACCCAGCAGGCCGGGAAAAATAATGAAGGCACACTACTGGGGGAGCGCCGGGGGCATGGGGGGGAGGCAGCCGAGTGCCGGGAACAGCCGCCACATGCTGGCGGATTTGGGGGATTAGAGGGACTCCCACCGAGATGAAACGTGGTCCCTGTGCTCAGGAGATGGGTGGGGTTCGGGGCCCTGGGGGGTTACGGGTTTGTTTAAGGTGTTGGCATAAGGTGTGCTCTTGCTGATGAGCAGGGCACCAGCGTGGGAAAGCCGTCCAACAGATCCAGGAGCCGCGGGGCCTGGCATTCGGTAGGTTTCTAGAAATTTCTCAGATCGCACTCATACAGGGGTACACAGGCCGGCGTGCCTTGTACTTTGAAGCTCTCTGTGATGCTGATTAAAGCTCAGCTTTAAGCCAGGCTAATGCCTGTGTCTGTCTGTCTGTCTCTCTGTGTGTGCATCTATGTGTGTGGGTCTATGTCTGTGTGTGTAGGAGCCCACACACCCCTCCGCACCCAGCCCATTGCCCACAGGGTCTCTTCCCCCAGTCTCGTCACTATTTAAGGCCACATCGACGCCCTGGTATCAAGGTGTGGCTGTTGGTCTGGCGCCTGCAGATCAGGGGACCCTCTGCCACAGAAGATAGTCTCCTTGACCCTGTCAGCCAGTCTGGTGCTGTGGGATTGCCTGGCGTATTGGGGGCGGTGCTGAGAGCAGGTCCCCCCCCCCTCCCAATTTGCTTGCTAATGAGCTGCCGCAACTTTGAGCCACATGAGTGAGGTGCTGTGATCAGCTGGGCCTGCATTGTGCTATGCTGCCACCGCGTTGACGCTCTGTGCGTTAGACGCCCTCACCTGGCTGTCAGTCCAGCCCCCTTGTAGCCCTGCGGCCAATGGCCGCCTGTTCAAACCTGCCCTGTGAGTAACTAGCTTTGACTCGTCATCTGGGACTGTCCGTGTTCTCTGGGGTACCGTGTCGGCTGAGCAGGAAATGTTTACCACAGGTGCCATGGTGATGTGGAGGTGGGAGTCACCCTCGGCTTACTGTGAGCTGATTTCATGACAGTCCAACACCCATTTTTAAAGCCCAGATATTAGTGGCCTGAGGGCTTGGTGCCCTTCTGATCACATGGGGGATGTTGTGTCATGTGACTCTGGTTAGGGGTGTCTGTGGGTGGTGGTGGTGGTGGTTGTTGTTGTGGGTGGGTGGGGGGGGGGCATTGCAGAACATGTAGTTTGGAATCCAAAATTACCTGTGTGTCTACAAAGCAGAAAGTTGCAGAAAACATCTGAGTTGCAGGCCTTGAGGGTGTGAGAGAGAGGAAGTGACGGAGAGGGATGACTCGGCCGTAATGCCCGATGCGTGCGTGTACTGTGTAACGCAGTCTTTTCCCTCTTTTGTGTGTTGCAGTGAGGGGGTGTTTAAGTGTCCCGAGGACCAGCTCCCATTGGATTATGCTAAGGTAAGCCAACCCCCACCATCCATCTCTGCTAATTGCATGAACTGATGACTGACCCCCCCCCCCCCCCCAGTCGTGGTGGACATGTCCCCGAAGTGAAAGCTGATTACAAACAGAGCTGCCTTTGTTCCCCACGGTCCCTGAGGAAGATGGCCACCAGCAGAGTGTCAGCAGAGCTGGTGTCAGCGGAGCTGGTTTTGCGTACCTGTGTTGCGTCTGAAGTGTGCCTGCCTGTGAGGCCTTTGGCCTGCTGTAGGAGCTGTCTGCCTGTGAGGCCTCTGGCCTGCTGTAGGAGCTGCCTGCCTGTGAGGCCTCTGGCCTGCTGTAGGAGCTGCCTGCCTGTGAGGCCTCTGGCCTGCTGTAGGAGCTGCCTGCCTGTAATCCCTAAATATTTAATGCGATTTCATTGGAGGGGCCAGTCTGGCCTCCGAATCTGGGTCTCCGCTGTCGGCCAGGACTCAGCCGTGGCGGTCTGCCCTTCACGGCACGGCAGTAAATCTCCTGGCTCTTCCTGCAGGCCCCCCCCCCCCAGGCGGTTTAATTACCCTCCTCCCGGCTCTCTTTGTCCTTTTCATTAAGGTTTAATCAGTGAAAATGTGCCGTCTGGCTCCCGTTTACCCTGCGTCACGGCGACGTAGCTTGCGGCTGAGATGGCACATGGCGAGGGTTAGGACGCTGTGCCAGCCACACGCAAGCCCGCGGGGGCACTCCTGCCAGGGTCTCGCACGTGCTGGAGTCTGTGCGGCCGGGCCGAGGTGTTGCTATGGCGACCCGCCAGAAGCAGGAGTGTGCTGTGGATGTCACAGCCTCCTGTCCCACCCCCTCCCCCATCTCCCCTAAAGCCATCCACCTTGATGAAGACGGTTGGGTGTGAACACACAGAAACTGCTCTGAGCAAATCAGGTATCAGTCATGGGGGGTTAAGCTGCAGGCGTTCCCCCAAAGATTTAAAGGCTGTTGCCACGTGATTCTGTGCTTTCCCTGTGAGGGACAATTAAGCAGCCAATCAGTTATCTCTGTGGATTTCCCTGCTCTCGAACCAGTGGCTGTTGCTGGGACACTGTAATTCCGCATGCGCCCCTGCCTTGCACCAACACAGGCCCTCACCCCACGGGCCACGTGCAAACGAAGGCAGGCTTCACACGCAGTTCACGCCTCCGTCAGTGTCCCATGAAAACCCGGACTCCACTTCGTTGTGATGTGTGTGTGTGTTCTTACATTTTATTAATTTCTAATTATCCCCAGGGCTATATGCTAACTATCTATGCATTTGGAATTAGAATCCAAGAATTTCCATGCTACTAAAAACACGCATGTCTTTAGAATATATGTGTATACTGTGTGCACACGGCACTGTCTAAGGACGGGAAAGGTGTCCCTCAGACCTTGTCCTCTAGCTCCTGCTTGAGCTGCGTGTCTCTCAGCGGGCAGGCTGACCTCCGACTGTCTGCAGCCTCTCACTTCCATCCTGCATGACAGATTGTTTTGCTTTGGTTTCTTATCCTGCATACTGTTGCATGGGACTGATTCCACGGCGTCCATAAATCAGAGATAAAGGGTGAACTAAGGCAGAGTAGATTTCCAGACTTTACGGAGTGCCTAAGAAAGTCCATGATCATGTGACAGGAAGTGTTTTCTAACTGCTACACAAAGAGATCATGCTGGTCCCACATGATAACCGTCTGGACGCATCTGGTGCAGAATTCCAGAAGTATGCAGGCACCCTGAACACGTGTCATAGGCGTAACCTTTGCCCTCCTTACGTGGGGGTCGGTATCCCTGCAGATCTACCCCGACCCGGACCTGGAGCAGCAGATCCTGTCCCTGGCCATTCGCTGCATCCACAGCGAGGAAGGCTGTCGCTGGAGCGGCCAGATGAAGCAGCTGCAGGTGTGTGGGGTCTTCCTCACGGTTCTCTCTGCGGTCCCGTGGGATTTTCTTTATTATAAACGTCACCATGGAAACACCCTCCCACCCCCTTGCGGTTCCAACAGAGTCACTTCTCCACCTGCGCCTTCAATGTGGTTCCATGCCCCAACCGCTGCGCCGCCAAGCTGACGCGGAGGGACCTGCCCGACCACCTGCAGCACGACTGCTCCAAGCGCAAGGTGAAATGCGAGTTCTGTGGCTGCGAGTTCACCGGCGAGGCCTATGAGGTGAGAGCCCCTCCCCCTGCTTCCCCATGACCCCAAACCGGCCTCCAAAGCCCTGTCTTCATTCCACTATGCGCACACTGCACGTCTCAAACCAGGGATCTCTGAAACTAAATGGATTTCAGTTAACTACTTACTGAAAATAAATCTCCAGTCTGTGGGTCTTCTGCTTCATTCCAGCCAAGCTTCCAGTGCGTCCAACATTCTGTGATGTTTGTGCTGAAAAATGTGTTTTTAAGGGCAGTATTTCTGTAAAAGCTCTCTTTGATCCAAACTCAACAGCGCTGACTTTGGTGGAAGCCCCACCCAGTCGATGAAAGCCCCCTTGTCGCTTACAGGGCGGGAGGCCTAGTGTGCCGGTGCCTTTTATTTATAGACCACGGTAGGCTGTTTAAAGTAACAGGACAGTCGGGCGAATGAAAGGGCAGCCCTGTGGTCCTCATAGCTGCCCCATTGTCCCTACCCAACAAGAGAGTCACTCCTGAGCATGAGCTCACTGCAGTCACTGTTATCTTTTATGGCGTATTCGTTCTTGGTCTTGGCCAGCCCTGGCCGTGCTGTTAGCAGGCACAGAGTGCATCAACAGAGCAGGCAAGGATCATTTAACAGACTTGCGTAACTAGCTAATGGACGTTTAACCCATGTATGTAGTCTGACATATAGAAAAAAAAAATGAATGTGGCTTTTCTTTCCATGAAGTCATAATGGAATTTGAACCAGCAACCTTCTGGTGTTGGGGTGTCCTATGGCCCTGAATGATGGAGTGAGACACGTCCTGTAATGTAAACCCCTGTCCTTTCTGTGCCCTCAGACCAAGACATCAATATTATTGGTGATTATCCCGTTGTGGTTGGTTCTGTTTGAGACGCCTTGTAACATGACATGAATTTCTCCCCCCCCCTCCCCCATGTCTCTTCCCAGAACCACCAGGGTATCTGTCCCCAGGAGAGTGTGTACTGCGAGAACAAATGTGGGGCACGGATGATGCGCCGGCTCCTCTCGCAGCACAGCGTGTCTGAGTGCCCCAAACGCACACAGCCGTGCAAGTACTGCGGCAAAGAGTTTGTCTACGACACCATCCAGGTCAGCCCCCCCACCCCCAACCCCGGAAGCTTTCTTTTCCAGTTCTTTTTTTTATTTTCCCCATCTTCACCAGCCCAAAATCCAATTTTAGAGTCTGCTCAAGCTTGAAATTGTACAAGGAATGCGGGATTCAAAGTTAGTCAAGGTTGTGTGTTATTGAAATGTTGCTTGGTAAGTGCTGCACGGCGGGGGGGGGGGGGGGAAGGGGGGTCCATCTCCATATGGTCTTTCTGTAATAGTGCCCCCCCCTCCATACTGTGTTGTCGACTGGTCCTTTGGTTGTTGGTGTGTTTGCATCCTCCTTATTGATGGCTATGTTGATCAGTAGGGTAGTGCTGGAGGAGGGGGGGGTAGAGAACAAGCCTTGCTCAGTACAGGACTGGGGCAGCACCCCCCCACACCGCTGTTTGTGCTGCCTAACACACTGCATCCTTGGCTTCAGCAGCCCAACTATCGACATTTCAATTTGGGGGGGGGGGGGTTCGTGATTTAACACCCACCTCGCGAATGATGATTCTGTTGACTATGAATTTGGCTTTGGGGTTTAAAGCTGCTGGATACAGCTGAACTAGTCAGGAACGGGGGAGGAAGCTTGATTCCTGGCTGAAATATATTCTAACACCCTGGGGGGTGGGGGGGGTTCCTTTATATTTTTGACTGATTGCCAGTGTTAGTTTTAATGACTTAGTCTAGGGGTGCATTTCAGGTTGCAGTGACAGATGGCGGGGGGGCTGCCAGCTGTTCTGCCATTGCTGACTTGGCTTCGTTTGCTTTCCCACGCAGAACCACCAGTACCACTGCCCACGGTTCCCAGTGCCCTGTCCTAACCAGTGCGGCACACCCAACATTGCCCGCGAGGACCTGGCAAATCATGTGAAGGAGAGCTGCGGAAGTGCTCTGGTGCTCTGCCCGTTCAAAGACGCTGGCTGCAAACACCGGGTAAGCAGCCCTAACGCTAATGCTAATGTTAGTGCCCTCCAATAGGCCCTTGTGCTAATGCTACTCCCTTAGCATTAATGCTAATGCTAATCCTACCCTCTAAGCAATAGTCCTAAGACTGACACTATTCACTTAACCCCAACCCTTGCATTGCTCCTATTTACCTGGCTCTCACCTAGTCCAAGCAACTTCCATCACTCTGCCTCCTCAGCCCACTGGTGCCTTGTTTTTTCCATTAGCAACAGTCATCCAAAATTAGTTTAGCTAGTACTTTTTTCCAGTTGAGGATTGAAGCATTTTGCACTCATATTTGCTTATTTCTTCTGCCTGCTGTCTCCATGCTTGTCTGACTAATCTGCCTGATATACATGTCTTTCTTACTACTAGTACAAAAAAAACAACAATAATTTATATCTATAACTGCAGGAGAAGTTTTTGAGTCAGAAGGTTCCACGTATGTCACATATAAACTAGCTGGACTTTTTGGTTTTCCATCTGAACTTTCTCATGTGTCTTTTTTCAAAAACAAGAATGGTTCTGGAATTCCAGAAGCATTGCACGACAGATGGCCGGGCTTCCCTACAGTATAGACCCCAGTAGGCAGGGAAAAAAACACACCCAGGCATGCAGATGTTCTGCAGCGCTCGGAATGGCAGCTGTCCAAAGGCACGAGCAGTATTCCAGGAGTAAAAGACAATACATTCCTCTGGGAATTCTCAGCATGGAAAGTCCCTACACTAGACAGCTTGGGTATAAACATGCAGCTGTCTACAGTGATGTTCCCAGACTGCAGCCCTAGAATTGACGAATGGGCCTTCGATCACTTTGAAATTAGTCTTTTTGTGGTTCACAATCAATTGATTCACACTTGAAGGACCTGACTTGTGTCATATCCAATTAAGTTAGACTTCAGTTAGGTAGTTCTGTATAGGGGGAAAAAAAGGCAGTTCAGAAAGTACTGCAGTTCAGAATCCCTGCCCAGGGGCAGACGCCCCATAAAGCAAGTGTAGACAGCTACCGCGTGCCTCCAAAAACCAAGAAGACAGAATTTCCAGAAGTTACATTGATGGATATGAAATAATATAATTTTAAATGATAACAGCATTTTTGCCATTAGTAATTTTAGCGGCAGTTTTCAGTAGAGACAAAGGCGACCGTCCCCCATCCAGGCTGTAATGAACTATTCCAGCCCTGAGACTTCATGCCAGCCAGGTTTCCCTTCACACTCGAGCCCAGGGGCACTGGTGGCATGCGCAAGTTTCACTTCCAAGCCATCCAGCAAAGAATAGCGTGACAGAAGAAGAAAACAGTGCAAAGATACAAGACTAACATGTCTTCACTCGTGTCTTTCATACTATCCCAATAGAGTAGTAGACAATTTGTGAAAAGATGTGGAGAACGCAATTAAATGAATGCATGGAAAAATTCAAAACTAACATTAGCCTAAAAAGAGCAAGAACAGAATAAGAAACTCTGTTAAATAGATGGACTCAAGCAAAGCCCCATTCCTATTTTCCCCTAGAGCAACTAAACCCTTAAGTCCGCCCCTGTCTCTACTATGGAACTAACCTCACTTTCTGGCCCAAGAATTTAGTCCTTGTACCCAACCTCCTTCATTTTTTTGGCAGTGCCCCAAGCTGGCGCTTGGCCGACACTTGGAGGAGACCACCAAGTCTCACCTGACCATGATGTGTAACCTGGTGGGACGCCAGCGGCAGGAGCTGCTTGAGTTGCGGAGGGAGGTGGAGGAGCTGTCAATCAGCCACGACGGTGTGCTGATCTGGAAGCTGTCCGACTACTCGCGCAAGCTGCAGGAGGCCAAGCTGCGCAGCAACCATGAGTTCTTCAGCCCCCCCTTCTACACCCATCGCTACGGCTACAAGCTGCAGGTGTCTGCCTTCCTCAATGGCAACGGCAGTGGCGAGGGGACACATCTCTCCATTTACATCCGCGTGCTCCCTGGAGAGTATGACAACCTGCTAGAGTGGCCTTTCTCCTACAAGGTGACTTTCTCCATCCTGGACCAGAGTGACCCCTCACTCTCGAAGCCTCAGCACATCACGGAGACCTTCAACCCTGACCCCAACTGGAAGAACTTCCAAAAGCCATGTAGCACCCGCAACTCACTGGATGAGAGCACGCTGGGCTTCGGCTACCCCAAGTTCATCTCCCATGAGGAGATCAAGAAGAGGAACTACATCCGAGACAACTCCATCTTCCTGAAGGCCTCCATAGAGATTCCTCAAAAGATAATTTCTTGAGTCCAGAATGCTTTCGGGTAGGGAGCCGAGACTGATGGGAGTTCGTCCTTCTAACAACTCTGTATTTTTTCACCTGAACTCTGCCTCGATCCAGCAACTCCATGGGGGAGCTCTGTTCTGGACAGTCTGACCATGGTGGATTGGCAGCCATTTTTTTGGCTGCTGATCTGAATTGGACAACAAGATGAGTCTTTGGTCTGCAGAACCATCGCTCTCTGCATAGGTTTAATTGATTTGTTTCATGTTTGATCTGCAACAGGAAGCCTTGAAAACTCAATAGTGCCTCGTAGTTTTAAATGTGTTTGGCGTCTCAGTCTCTCCACGATGCTGACATGGGAGTGAGAGCTGAGAGAGACATTTGGTCAACGTCTTGGGAGAGCCAGCCACCAAGAACGTTTTGATTGTCTTTCATGCACCAGTTAGACCCTCACAGCTGTAGAGGGATGGATGGATGGAACCCCACTGAAGCTATGGACATTGAATTGAACACTCATACACACTTGAAAATGTGGTTGTTTTTGGTTTACATGTATACACAGGTACTCCCTATTCCAGAAAATAACAATGGCTTTTCTCCGTTATGAGACTGTGAAATTCATTGACCACTCCCACTGCTTTTTGCCAGTGACTCAAATAAGACCTCTCATTGTGTTCCAGAAGCTTCTTAACCTTTGAGCAAAGAGGGAGGCTACATTGTTAATAGTGGGCAGCAGTTCTGGCTCTTTGTACACTGACATTGGACTTAACAGCCATGGAATAGTGGCCGAGATTCATCTACACACAGGGTTAACATTGATTTTAGCATCTATTGCAAAAACTATTACACAGTCCTTCCAACATCGTGTTGCTAGTCACAAAAACCTCAATCCCATGTGATAAGTAACTAATATGGACCAATTTACGTTCGTGTGGTCTTAAAAATTGCTGTCCATGTGACCATGCCACTGTCCATTGGGCTTTAGCTTCTTAAAATTTTGAGTAGCTGGCAGAAATGGGATGCTAGGGCTTCAAACATACGGTAGCCATGTGCTATCACACATTACCTGGACCACCATGGGGCACCACCGCCTTTGTGGTAGAGCAGACAAGTGGCCTTTGAAAAGGCTAAGCTGAAGGACAGCTGAAAAAGCGATTTCTATAATAGGCCATTAAAGGAATTATCAGTATATACAAATATATAAATGATATATATATATATATATATATATATATATGTCAACGTATATGGTCATGTAAAAGAACAGCACATTTTCAGTCATTTTTACTCGTTTATTCCTGGTTTGATTTTTCTATATTGCCAGTCAATTTTGCAGCTATTAAAAGTTCTGAAGAATTTTTGTACCCATATTTTGCAACAAAAAAGTGAAACATGGTTTTTACTAGCGGATGTTTGCAGGAGGATCTGGGGTTGTGCATGACAGTTTTAACATTTCTATGTTTCGTCTCCTATAACTGCGTTCTCTTCGTTTGTTCTGTCCTCCCTCCCCCCTTTTAAATGTCTTGTCTGTATAGTTTCTTTTTCCGATAAGTATTTATTTTACCGTGTCGCTCCGTGAGCCTGGCTGAAAAGGCGGGTTGAGTATTTTAACACGTTGAATGATGACTGCTTGTCATGTTCCTCTTTTGAAATAAAAGCTAATTGGCTAAAGCGAATGAGTGCTGGTATCGATCGCCTCGCGTTCAGCGCGCGGGACTGCGTCACGTGAACGAAGGTCACCTCGGTCCGTGCTGGATTGTATTTTACTTAGTACATATATTTGTCCTTCATCGTTCTGTACATATTTACTCATGGTATCGTTACGTTTTTCACGGTTGGCGTCGCTCTGGTTAAAGTGAAAGCAAATGGTATGCTGCATATGACAACAAACCGACCGGTTTAGCTGTTCTGCGCTCCTAAAAATAGCACATCTTGTAATATTTTTTTCCCTTTTAAAGCGAGCCTTTGACGTAAGTACCTTTTTATTCTGCGCGTGACAAACATAAATCCTCGTCGGGTGAAATGTAGAGATCTGCACCGGCTTTTTCTAAGCCCTCCCTGCCTCCGTCTGCTAATAGACACTGCTCAAAAAAATTAAAGGAACACTTTTTAAAGTCAGTTAAACTTCTGGGATATTGACGTGGTCAGTTAAGTAGCAGAGGGGGTTGTTAATCGGTTTCAGCTGCTTTGGTGTTAATGAAATTAACAACAGGTGCACTAGAGGGGCAACAATGAGATGACCCCCAAAACAGGAATGGTTTAACAGGTGGATGCCACTGACATTATTCCCTCCTCATCTTTTCTGACTGTTTTTTCACTAGTTTTGCATTTGGCTACAGTCAGTGTCACTACTGGTAGCATGAGGTGATACCTGCACCCTACAGAGGTTGCACAGCACAGTCCAGCTCCTCCAGGATGGCACATCAATATGTGCCAATTGCCAGAAGGTTGGCTGTGTCTCCCAGAACAGTCTCAAGGGCATGGAGGTGATTCCAGGAGACAGGCAGTTACTCTAGGAGACCTGGACAGGGCCATAGAAGGTCCTTAACCCATCAGCAAGACCAGTATCTGCTCCTTTGTGCAAGGAGGAACAGGAGGAGCACTTCCAGAGCCCTACAAAATTACCTCCAGCAGGCCACTGGTGTGAATGTCTCTGACCAAACAATCAGAAACACTTCATGAGGGTGGCTTGAGGGCCCGACGTCCTCTAGTGAACCCTGTGCTCACTGCCCGGCACTGTGGACCTCGATTGGCATTTGCCGTAGAATACCACAATTGGCAGATCTGTCATTGGCACCCTGTGCTTTCCACAGATGAGAGCAGGTTCACACTGAGAACATGTGACAGATGTGAAAGGGTCTGAAAAGTCGTGGAGAACGTTATGCTGCATGTAACATTGTTCAGAATGACCAGTTTGGTGGTGGGTCAGTGAAGGTCTGGGGAGGCATATCCATGGAGGGACACACAGACCTCTACAGGCTAGACAACAGCACCTTGAATGCTATTGGGTATCGGGATGAAATCCATGGACCCATTGTCAGACCCTACGCTGGTGCAGTGGGTCCTGGGTTCCTCCTGGAACTGGACTAGCCTGCTGCATCATTTTTTCACTTTGATTTTCGGGGTGTCTTTGAATTCAGCCCTTTGTAGGTTGATCATTTTCATTTCCGTCAAACAATGTGGCATCCTATCATTCCTAACACATTACCTAATCCATATCAGTATAGATATCCAGCATGATTTTTTTCCCATTGAGATCTGATGTGTTTTCAAAGTGTTCCTTTAATTTTTTTGAGCAGTGTGTATCTTAAGACTTGTTCACGTGGATGAAAATAGTGATTTTATTTGTTTTTATTTAATTTTCATCTGTGCCACGTGGGCATCAGCTCTCCTAGGTCTGAGATTTCCAACTCTCTTTTTCTACAAACTTTTAGACACACACAGGCACTCAGAGGACCTTGCTCTGGGAGTGGAGCGACAGGAACTGCAACAGAGGCACAGAATCGCTCCGCTTTGACTGTGTGCCAGTGGTTGTATGTTGCCTTGTGAGGCTGGAGGACAGTCGTAGGGGTTCAGCGTTCACTTTCAGCTCTTTGATAACATATAATCGTTTTAAGCTTGCATTTGACTGCATCTTAGTTTACGGGCTGGTGGTTTGCTGATGCCTGAATAGTAGTAATAACATATTTATAACCCTGAGAATATGAAAGACAAACTAAGCTCAGGCCTGCACATTAACATTAGGGAAAAGTTCTGATGGCTTAAACTGTAAATTACAAGCAGTGTGGAATGTGTGAAACTATATAGCAGTGGCATTTATAAATATGTGTTCAGTCCTATTTAATTAGTTTAATATGTTCACCCAGAGTAGGGCAGCACCATATTGTTGAGCTTGTGTGTTTATTTCTGTCTGTGGGGAGCCATGCTAGGAGATTCTGGTGAGTTTCCATGGTAAAGGGTTAAAGCCCAGCGCCATTTGAAAGAAAAAATGAAGTCCAGAAGGCCGTCATGACGGCCACAAAGTTTCCTGGCAGCGTGAGCTCGGTCCCTGCTGAGCCGTGTCCCTGTAGGACTGCGTGGAGTGAAAGTAGTAACTCCTAATTATACTGTCCCCTCTAATTTGTGGCTGATGCTGTCACAGACACGCCTAGGTTTCAAGGACGTCCAGGACTGAGCTAGATGCTCCAGGAGAAACTAACATGGAGAGAAGTGCCTGTTTTGTAGACACACCTCAACAGGTTCCTGGACATGTGTGAACCCTGTGAACTTACGTGCCCTTTTTTCTTCCGGTGAGTCATGGAGACGGCACTGTGACCTGGAACATTGGCCCTTTGACCTCAGCACATGACGGGCATGGAAGCTGTACCTGAATAGTTGCAGGATCCTGCTAATCTATTAAGTCTGCTAAGATGACAAATAAAGAAATTCACGGAATGTCTGTGAAAGTGTCATCAGTCAGCTGCTCTTCCTGACGGGTGTATCTGTCAAGCAGGAGGCCTATGTGAGTCATAATTCTGCTAATATGTGCTGCTTTTAGTTAAAACATTATAATGTAGATATCCATGAGGATGCAGAGGTGGTGAATTGCAATCTGAAGCTTTTCTGTCTGAGGACGGTGGACGGTACTGTTAGCCTGAGGAGGTCCAGGTGGAGCCCGACAGTCTGCCTATGGGGTGTGTAGCCAAGGCCAGCCGCTTGTGATGTTTCAGAGAGTTGCTGTGAGTTTCGGGGCATGAGGTTGATACAGATGGTAGCTTTGCCCACTGGTGTCCACATTGCAGGTAAAAATGACTCTCAGGAGGGATAATAAACTGGGGGGTGGAGAAGGTGAGCAGAAAATGTAGATATTGCACGACAGGCAGCGTATGTTAGCATTTTCATTTAATTAATGATGAGGAGGAGGAGATGGTAGGAAGCGCTTCTACCAAGAGCTCACGGTATTTGCGGGCTGTCGTCTTCTTCGAGGTCCTGCCACATCGAGCCTGGCGGTCATGATGTAATTACGCAGCAAGAGGGTGGCCTGGTTCATGGGCTGTTTGTCGTCAGCCGGTAAACAGACCTGAAACACGGAGTGAATATTTTATCACGTAATGACGTCTGTGATGAAAACGCATGGACAAACTTAGCGGTGTGAGCTCATTCCAACGATGGCTCTTCATTGTCCTTTGAACAATTTCTGGGACCGTCTGGGACCTTTCACGTTTGCTCCCCGTCATGAGAGTCTTAGCTGTTAAAAGAGGTTCTTCTGGGGTATTTTGTCTGTGGTGGGTTTGGGAAGGCTGTCAGGCCCACGGCTGGGGACCAGTGATTTGGTAGGTGGCGGAGGCTGCCATCACTAGGCTGGAACTAAGCTGTCAGAGGCATTTACATGGTTTAATTTCTGTTTGTGTACTTTCCGACTTCATGCCATTTTTCCAGAAGTATGTAGACATGCTGCCAGTCATACAGCATGGTGGTCCGTAGGGATCTGTTAAGGGGTGCTCTTTTGGCAGTGCTGGTAGCCTGCAGGTGTTTATGCTACATGCTGTGGCTGTGTGTGACCGCAAAGCCATCCTACGGCTTGGTGCCATCGGCACATGGCACCACAGGCCCTCGCCCCGAACCCGCAGTCTGCCTGTTGCTGTGAGGAAAATGACTTTGCCATAGCTTGTCCTGGAGAACTGATTAGCAGAATGCTAACTAGGAATCCGCTTTTCCTGAGCCAGGAAATGGTGAGGTTGGAGGCAGGCCAAGGTCGAGGAGGGTGAGGCTTCCTTCGGCAGGGAGCCAGAGTGTCACCCTGGGAGGAGAAGGGAAACTGCTTCTTAAAATTGATTCAGGTTTCACTTTCATCCTGGTGCTGAAACAACAGATGTACCTGCAAATCTCCCTTTGATCCCAGTGTCTTTATGTAGCCGGTCCTGCTCGGCACCCACCAGGCCCCTGCCTGACCCAGACGGAGGTTCCCTATGATGCTAAATACTTTCCAGTGTATTCCTTGGCTCCTCCCACTGGTCCGGCCATGATCAGACTCGGACTGTTGAGTTTCTCACCATCTGATTTCAGCCTGATCTGTTCTTTATGGTGGGAGCTGTGCAGGCGTGGCACAGAGCAGAAATGGAGGGAAGCCAGGTTACTGCAGCTTCTGGCTGACCAGCTGTATCATCATCAATGGGAGGCTGGAGAAAAATCCACCGCTGGCTGACGTGTTCACTGGGCTGCCAAGCACCAGCTTGATCTCTCCAGATGTTTTCTTAGTCCGCTGCTGGTCAAAGGAGGCGTTTGCACCACCAGTGGGGTTTAACTCAAAATCCGGCTGATATCAAATGTCTTCATGTCACCCAAAGCACTCGGCAAACGCTTCATCAAAGAGAAACCCAACCAGTGCTTGAAAGTGGGCTAAATGTACTAATTAACTTTCTTCATGAGAAGTTCCTCTAATTAAATACAGCTGAGGTGAGAGTTCCTCCTTAATTATAACCCTACCATTTATGCCCTGCTTTTCTTTACATTTAGTTCTTCTAAATGTCTGACTTTATTAAGTCCATGATATTATTTTTGGGACAGGGTCCTTCTTGCACCTCAAATCAGCAACTGTCCAGTTACAGGTTGGTAACATTCCTCAGTTGTCATTGATAAGACTTACCATGGTCAAGCCAGACCTAGCATAACCATTCTGGCAGCCATCTTCTCAAAC